CTCCCAGAAGCTGGTCGAGCCAGGCAAGCACACCCCTTCGAGGCCTCACCTGGGCACTGGTGGTGGCCTGCTCCGGCGTCTTGTCTTCACGGACGCGAACAAACCGAGGGAAGCGAAGGGAGATGCCCTTCTCACTGTCCACCTGGGGGGCGGGGCGATGATGGGGACCTTCCTGAGGCCCAGCTTCGGGCCTCGCTAACCATTCCCTGCCCAAAAGTCTCCTCCACTCCTGTGCCTCAGTTTCCTCATCCATAGAGTACGGCTAAGCAATGGGCTGTTGTCAGGGTTCAATAAGGTGATGAGCCCTCGGGACCGTCCTGGCGCATGGCAGCACTTAAGAAACGCTAGCGGTGCCCTGACTGGTGGACAGAGCATCAGCCTGTGGACTAAGGGTCCCGGGTTTCGATTCCAGTCAAGGGCATGTACCTTAGTTGCAGGCACATCGCCAGTAGGAGGTGTGCAGGAGGCAGCTGATCGCGCACACAAGATCTGCGTATTAACGCCAGAGGCGCTGGCCCCGCCCCAGCCCGGAGGGCAGGGCCTAGTAGAAACACTCCAGGTCCGGGTCGGAGTCTTGGTCTGTGTCCTCCTGGTTCTGAATCTGACTCTGCCTCTTGTACAGCCAGGCCACCTGAGGTGACAGGGCAGGCAGGGGTCAGAGCCAGGGCTGCCCCCCACCCCTCGCCCCTGCAGGTCGGCGCCCACTTCTCCCAGAAGCTGGCCGGGCCAGGCAAGCACACCCCTTCGAGGCCTCACCTGGGCACTGGTGGTGGCCTGCTCCGGCGTCTTGTCTTCACGGACGCGGACAAACCGAGGGAAGCGAAGGGAGATGCCCTTCTCACTGTCCACCTGGGGGGCGGGGCGATGATGGGGACCTTCCTGAGGCCCAGCTTCGGGCCTCGCTAACCATTCCCTGCCCAAGTCTCCTCCCCACTCCTGTGCCTCAGTTTCCTCATCCATAGAGTACGGCTAAGCAATGGGCTGTTGTCAGGGTTCAATAAGGTGATGAGCCCTCGGGACCGTCCTGGCGCATGGCAGCACTTAAGAAACGCTAGCGGTGCCCTGACTGGTGGACAGAGCATCAGCCTGTGGACTAAGGGTCCCGGGTTCGATTCCGGTCGGGGACACGGGCTGTGGGCTCGATCCCCATTGGGGGGCGTGCAGGAGGCAGCCAATCAAGGATTCTCTCTCATCATTGATGTTTCTATCTCTCTCACCCTCTCCCTTCCTCTCTGAAACCAATAAAAATATGTTCTAAAAATAAATGAA